CTCTCCTTTCTAAGGAGTGAACACAGTCTAAACTACACAAGTATTCAGGTGATTATCATTCCTTTGAGTCTGAATGTAGGACATCAAACAAAGCAATAAATACATTTTACATGATTCCTCTCCCGTATGCATTCCTATATGAAAATATATCTAAAAACCAGCCAAATCACTTATCAGAATAGCCATCTTAAGAACAGTCCTAGGAAACGTTAAGTATCCTTGCACACATGTTTTATTTCCTATGGAAGAAATGAAGATGAAAAACAGTAGATAATGCTTAGAACTTCCCTTTGAAAGGAAAGTACTGAAATCTGGGAAGACTGTACCTCAAAATCCTACTGAATCCTATTGTTTATGTTTTTTTCCCAGTAGTTTAACCTTGGTATCCTCTCTGGGCAATTCTTGATCAAATATGTTCTATGTTTACTCCTCACTTATTGCTTATAACATTTTGTTTTCAATGCAAGTGCTTCTAATGCATCACTATATTCTTACTATATTTCAACTGCACAGAAGCTTTAGAAAAAAAATTCACAGAGACATAGGAAATTAAGCAACATACATAAAAAAAAAGCTCAATCAGCCTAACAGTAAAACTGCAGTATCCGTTTTCACATTAATTTTGGCAAAAAACCAAAAAGCACCCCCAAACCCCAAAGTAACAAAACTCTCAAGCAAGTAGAGATGATAAAATGATTTTGTAATGCAAAGGAAAATCCCAAGCCTGTTCCCTCAGTGATTGCTGTTGTCAACTTGGGCATGCAGCAAATTTGTTGTCACAACCGTGATGGAAAAGCAAGTACTTCAAGGGCCTGGACAGTATCCTATTCAAGACGAATTACAAGACCAAGACCAAGGAGAACGTGATGAGAACGCACACGCACGCAAACGTGAATGTTAGCTTACATAATTACAAAAAGTTAAAAATAAATTAGTAAAAATAAATTCCTGGTAAAAACCCAAAAAGCGTACCTATAAATGCATTCAAAACCAACAAATTTAGTGACCTGGTCATGTTTTCTGATGAAAAACCACCTCTCTCGTCTTTACATGAGCAACTATGGAGCAGCAGGTCAAAGCAGACCCTAACGGGGTTTCAACACGGCTGCATCTGAGGTATTGCAGATGCAACTTCCCCATATCACTCCAAAGCTTTAAACACACTGCCTGTTACAAAGATTCAGATGGGCCAAACAAGTCATCAGATATGCTGCTGAATGGCTGAGAGTCTATGAGTTGGCTTATTTCACTGTCAAGGTCCTCTTCTGTATCATCTGTGTACTTGCTTATTTTTTTGGAGTGCTGGTCTAAAGACAAACTTTCTAGAGATTCGATGTCTTCAATACCCGCTCTGTAGTGAATCATCAGAAGTGTAAGGGCCTGCAGCCTCTCACCTGATTTCGCCAATGCGGCAGAAAGAAGGGATTTTTTTCTTGCATCAGTTGTTTCTTTCTCTTCTCTAATGAGGGAATTATTATGTTCCAACTCCTGATCGATTTCAGTTTGCAGTTTATCCAACATGAACTCTAGTTTCTGGATCCTCTCCTCCGTAGGCAAGCCCCGATAGAGATCACGCCCGATTTCTTTAACAGCAATGAAAACACTGTCATCCAGACCTCCCTCCTTTCTTACTAACTTTATCCCAGCGCTATGGCCCCGTTTGGAAGGACTGTTTGGACCACAAACCTCTGTGTCGCTGCCTTCATTGTCTGATGTGTTAGGTGTGTGTTTTGGTGACGGTTCTACTAGGTCAGTCCCTGGCTCAGCAAGGCGTGTTTTAGAGACTTGCCGCAAATTTAACAAACGTGAGCTCGTGTTGATAATGTGCCTGGTCAGACCTGTCGTCTTATTGACTGACTTGCTGGTGTCGGCATCGACGCGGGGTGGCAAGCCCAAGAGGGTGTCCTGTCCTTCCAGCCGGAGGCTTTTCAGGGCCCGTTCCATCTGCCTGTCAGTTGCTCCACAAAGAGGAGTCTCGGTTAGACACTTCTCCTGACATTTTTTATGGCAAACATAGGCACAGAACATACACTGGGAAGCAGCTTTAGTCCAGACTTTCTTCTTACAGTAATCGCACCACGTCGGGTTCTGGAATTGAGTGTCCTGGAAACTATGCTTATTTTCCGTTAAACCCACCTGACTGACCAAGTGCTCCTCTTTGGGCAGGGCAGAAACGTCTTCGACTAAATGGAGTTCTTTTTCTTTCTCAAAGTTAGTAACTATGTGGTGATCTGGTTCTCCTTCTTTCAAGTATTTGAAGTGAAGAGTAATGTCACCAAAGCAAAATTTGTCATTGAAACCCTTTTGCACACTCAGGTTGCGCAGTGCAGTTCTAGTGACCATGGCCTTGGGTGATGGGGCTTCCAGCCTGAATTTTGAAAGGTACTCCATATTTGACGTGGCTAGGCATCCCAGTGCCACCTCTTCAAGTTTTAAACTAACGTGCCCCAAACAGATGAGGCCCCCCAACTTGAAAGGATCCCTGCACCACAGTGCGATGTTTAAGTACCTATGGCAGGCTTCAATGTCAAACACACAGGTGGCTCTGCTTCTTGTCCACTTGCCGAGCTTATTTCGATAAGGGATTTCGGACGATTCCCACATCTGCGGGTCCTCGGAACTGTCCTTAGCAGGGCAGGAGCTTTCAGCAGTCAAATCTTTAGCCGCTTCTTGCTTTACTGCAGTCGGCTTTGGTGCAGCTGTGTCTTCTACCTGATCTACGCTTTTCACTTGCTTCTCAGCCACTTTCTCCGCAGGAGGCGGTGGCGGAGGCGGCACCACCTTCTCCGGCTTCTCCACCGGAGCCTCTGGTTCTACCTGACTTGGGGTGTCAGCAGCAGCAGGTACAGGGACTTTCACCTGGGGGCGTGGCGGCACAGGTGGTTTGAAAGCAGATCCTTGGGTGGGTTTTGACACTTGCGCTGGGTCTGATGTCTCAGCAGTTTTTAGGGCTAAGGGTTTATTTCCTTCTTTGCAGACAAGTTTTGGTGGCGGTGGGTGACTTCCTACAACTAATTTACGGTTTAAAACTGGGGATACTGTTCCGAGGGGTTTAACAGAAAGTGTTGTTGGAGTACGTTTGGGACTGTGGCTCGCTGACTGTGTCTCATCTTTGATCTCATTCTGGGCTCTGACATCACTTGCCAAGTCTTCAAATTCAGAATCCAGATCTCGATTTTCAGCATCTGCTGCCAAGCTGGCTGTTTCCTCGTCAAAATTTGGTTGGCATGAACCTGACAGAAAGTTTTCCTCCAACTGTCCCAAATTCTCTGGCAGCACGGCACCTTGACTACCCTGGCCCACAGGTCGTTCATAATACACCAGGACGCGGTCACCAGCCTGCTTGATAAGCTTCAGCACCTGTAGTGTAGATGTGATTTTCACACCTGCATTAAGGTTTTTAAAAGAGAAAACACATAAATGACTGTAATACATACGCCCCAAATGTGTGAAATACATCTGTCCTTACCACCTAATTCTCTAGCTGATTAAAAAGTGAAAGGACAAATCTTCAAACAATTTTATTTGACCTTAAAATATTACTAATATACAGATTCTCAAACCTTGACCATGGGAATGTTCACCTTTTCAAATCAAATGATGTTATGAAGAATCTTTAAAAGAGTGCCAAATTACCAAGTAATTGCCTCCCATACTTTCTTAGATTACATGACATTATTTTTCTGCAAAATTATTGTATAAAGAAATCAATTACAACTATTAACATTAAAAAAACACGTGGTGGTGTCAAGAAAAATTTATGACACATTAAAAGAAATAAAGAAGTTTACAAAAATACATAGTAAGATTTTCAATCTTGTCTGCTAGAGGTGGGGCAGGGATGTATTTTAAAAAGGCACAGAAACAGAAAACTTTTTGTTTCGTTGTTGTTGTTGTTAAGTGCCATAGAGTTGTCTGGGGCTATTTCCAGGCAGGGAAGATGAGTGGAACGGCTGGATTCTGGAAAGGTGTGTTTTCTGGTTTGGGGTCAAGACAAAAGGGTGTGAGCTGATCGGATTTGGCTTCTTACTTGTTTCTATTTGCCATCAAATACAACCTATGTTTCACCCCAGTAAGTACTATTTTGTAAAAATGTGAGACATGACTCAATGGAGGCCAGCTATGAGTTAGTTAAGACTCAAAGTTTCTATGCCCAGAGCATATGATCAACTGAGGGCTGGCTAGAAATTCAGACTCTAGGGCCCCACATCAGGTATACCTGAATCAGAAGCTGCATTTTAACACTGAGTCCAAGTGACTGGAATGCAGATGAACATTTGAAAAGTACTGTTTATGCCACCAGAGGGATTTCCACATGAAAATGTCAACTTAGTTGGGTTTGCAGATTTGCAACTGAATAACTTCCATTATTTTATGGTCACTATGGATCTGAATCAGTCAGAAGTTCTTTGAGCTATAACAAGATAACTGTTCGTCGATTTGGGAGCCAACAAATGGCTGATCAGGCCACGAGACAGTTCAGGCCCCTTTATGGACAAGGACTGCTGCTTCTTTTTATTTTCAGGAGCTGTGGTATTGGAGGAATTAGGCACGTGGCTGCTAACCGATGGTGGTCTGAATCTACCAGCTACCCCAGAGGAGGAGGAGGAGCCCCCATGAAGACTGACAGCCTTGGAAACCCTCGGGGAAGTTCTATTCTGTCATACAGGGTCATTACGATCAGAAATTACTTCATGGCAACAGTTGTTATGTTTTGGGACTTGTTTGCTCAGCTCCACCATCAACATTCTTGGCACCAGCAGCCAGGAAATCAAAAAACGTATTACGATGGGAAAGTCTGCTGTTAGGGACCTCTCTAAAGTACTCAAGAGCAATGGTGTCTCTTTGGAGACTAAGGTG